ATAAAATCTTATTAAAAAAAAAAAAAGAATAGAAAAGCATGTCTTTCTGGAAGAGGTCAGTACATTCCAGGAAATGACCGGTCACCAGAGACTCTGGAGCAAGGGGCAAATATGGGCCAGAGGTCCCTGCTCCGGCCAGAGAAGACTAGAGCAAGGGCCGGTCTGGGTCATGGTTCAGGGTAAGAAGAACTGACCTGGCCAAGGAGAAGGATAATGCCCTGGATCTGTCTACTGCTGTGTTCCCACAGCCTAAACGAATGCCTAGCCTTTCGGAGGTGTTCAGTAAGGATTTGTCATGGGAACGAATGGTTCTGCAGAGATGGGCACAGGAAGGAGAGGGGCCTGGTCTTTATTCCCCCATGCACCCTTCCCGCATATCCTGGAGCCATCCAAAGCCCATACTGATGGCCCCTCAAGCCGGTTTCCTCCTCCATAAGGGGCAGGACCTACCCCTACCACCTACAGAGGGCGAGACACTGCCTGCTTCACAGGGTGGTTGTGAGAACTCGTGAGAGAATGTGAAGGCCTTTGTCTAAACACTGAAGTTCTACCACGTGAGTTGTCCTTGCTACCAGCGGGGCCGGTCTCCCACATGAAAGCTGGAGGCCTCTGCCCTTCCTTTGCTGGTTAAACAGTGTTGCAGGGAGGCTACATGATTATTATTAGGAAGGAGGTGATCGCACCTTCCACCTTGTTTCCGGGGGCCACAACCTTGCTCCATCCTTGGCCGGGACCTCACTCTGCATTGCTCCTTTGTCACCTGGCAGGGTCTCTCGGAGGCCCGGCTCGACTGTTGTTACCCACCCTCATGCTGACCTACCACCTCATGGTTGCCGGGCAGACCAGGAACCGCATCATGGACCGTGCGGGTGAGAGGTGAGATGAGGCTCAGCATCTCCGCCTTCCCCGGGGAGGGGCTACAGATAACCCAGGTTTCCTGAGCTGCTGCATCGCCACTCTTCCTTCCCCTCTTACTTCGTAATATTGGTGGTGGGAGAGAGTTAGAGGTGGACACCAAGACCCGGCGTGGCCTTACTCTGCGTTTCAGCATCTGGAACAGAGGCTACTGGGGCACCACCAGATGCTTTCAGGGTGCGGATGTGGTTTGTGTGTGAAACTTAAAACAATCACCACCGTCACTCAAAACGAGATTGCATATACACCTCTTGAAAACTTGGAAAATCCGGCCACACCAGGCCCACGTCTTTGCATTGCAACAAAGGCCTGGAGCTCAGTGGTAGCCCCCAGGGGGCAGTATGTGCATGTCCTCCAGGCGGCCACCGTCTGGCCACGCAGAATACGTGCATGTGCATTTCTGTGGCCCGTTGCTGAAGAAGGGCACTGTGAAGTCATAATATGAACCAAGGCCAGAAACCAACTTCTGTTATCTTTAAGAATTTATGATGAAAGTGGCATTCCACATCAGCGGGAGGGGTGGTATTAGTTAATGGTGCTAGATCAGTTAGCTGTCCATCAGGGAACACGAAGTCTGATTCCTAAAGAAGAAATGGAACTATAAAAATATTGGGGAAAAATGGGATTGTCATGATCTTGGAATGGAGAAAGCCTTCCTAAGCACTACATGAAATTCAAAAGCCATAAAAGAAAAGGCTGATATACTTGCCCTCATGAAAATTTTCAAATATCTATGGGAAATACTGCCGTTTAAAAAGTGAACAAAGATAAGTGACATTGGGAGAAAATATTTGCAACATCTAAAACATCCTAATTTTTAAAAAGGATGCTTATAAATGAATAATGGGAAGAACAGCCGATAGAGAGCAAACAGAGGCTACCCACAGAAGAAAAAGAAACAGGTAGTCAATGCTTCACGTGCCTGCGTGCAGCTGTGGGTGATCGAAGAACCCTGGGCTTGTCATCAGAGCAGGGCTCTCCATTTCAATGAAACACACTCAAGTTATTTGAGAATCTTAATGTTCTCCATTGTGCATGTGGAAGAGACACGGGCCTAGTGATCCTGTCTTGATTGAACAAACCTTACTGATAAGGAGGTACAGTGATTGCTACATTATTTTCAAGACAGCTGTATTAGTTTCCTGGGGCTGCCCCCAACAAACTGGGGGGCCAAAAGAACAGAAATGTATTGTGTCAGTTCTGGAAGCCAGAAGTCTGAGATCAAGGTGTCCGCAGGGTTGGCTCCTTGCCAGGGCTCTGGAGAGACTTCCGTGCCCCTCATAGCTTCTGGAAGCCTCAGGTGTCCCTGGGCTTGCAGATGACATTCTCTCCATGTCTTCGCATCTGTGTGTGTCTGTGTGTGTCTGTGTCTGAATCCGTGTCCAAGGGTCCCCTTCTAAGAAGGACCCCATCATGTTGGATTAGGGCCCACCCTAGTGATGTCATTTCAGCTTGATCGTCTGCATCCTTATTTGGCAATAAGGTCACATTCAAAAGTACTGGGAGGTATGCCTTCAACATCTTTTTTTGGGGGGTGGGTCCTCCCCCCAAAAAAAGATGTGGGGGATACAGTTCAACCCAGAGCAGCAAGCAATCAGAAGGACAGTTTATTTTCAGAGGTAATTTTTTTTTTTAAAGATTTATTTATTTGAGAGAGAGAGAGAGAAACAGCATGAGAGGGGAGAGGGTCAGAGGGAGAAGCAGGCTCCCCGCTGAGCCGGGAGCC